CCCAATTTATTAACCAAACTAATGGGCCTGGGCATATCATGGCCCAATAGAAGTCCAACTATAATCCAGTTTCCAACATTATATATATATATATATATATATATATATATATATATATATATATATATATATATATATATATATATATAGGTACATCATGGCCCAATAGGAGTCCAACTACAATCCAGTTTCCAACATTATATATATATATATATATATATATATATATTAGTGGGACGTTTATAGGCCTAGTGATATTGTGGGGTAGAGACAGCCATATCCAGGATACATGTAGAGCATTGAACAATGCAGGGACCCTACCTAGCACCTACAAGTGTCTCCAAGCTCATGAGCATGGAGACCACCACAGAGTTGATTCTAGTTGGTGTCACGGTGAGACTGTCAAAGAGTCATGAAAGTTTCCCTAGATCTAGTGGTCCTTACAAACGATATGTTGGAATATTTGGTGGTCACTATATGTCTCATCGTGTCTGCAACTTGGAACTGTGATAATACCATCGATCAAGAGTTGAATCGGGTTTCTAAAATAATATAATTCATTTTTTTATTTCAGAACAAAATAATAATAATAACCGGATAAGAGACGAATACAACGTCAATCACGCCAACATCTCCATCCAACTTTCACTTCACCGGCTCTGCGCGTAAAGGTGGCGGCACAAATAAGCTCTGCTGTCTTCTCCTCCATCTTTTGTCCTTTCAATCAAAGCTTGTGAGTCAACAACGCATACATTGTGTCGTATTTGTACAAAACCACTCATTCCTGCAACTTTTGACCTGGGAAAAGGTCCTCAGAGATGAACGAGGAAGCAATTAGTATGTTAGGAAACTACAGAGGTGTGAAGAGGAGAAACCTCATAGGCAGCCTCAGGAAGACCTTAACTACTGTGGATGACAATTCTGAGAGAAAGATCTTTGTTACGACACCGGAGGTTGTAAGCCAATTCTTGAATTTGCAGAGTTGAAGGAAGAGTTGATTCTTGCACTAATGTTGTACTCTCTCTCTCTCTCTCTCTCTCTCTCTCTCTCTCTCTCTCTCTATATATATATATATATATATATATATATATATATCTTTCTCACACACACAGTCATCATGGGTTTTCTAACGAGGCTATCAGGTCAAGTCTTCACCTGGAGTGGGTGTAACGTAGGTTCGTCAACCGCATGCAGTGCACACTGAAGTCACTCGCTCTTCACTTTGTGAAATGACTGTTTGGGTGTAGGAGAGGCGTTTCGCCCGTGTTAATGCGTGGATGCCGGCGACCAATGGCGACGTCCCGAATTAGTCCGGTCCCGGAGATATAAGATTACTCAGGAGGTCTCCGAGAGGAGGGAAATAGCAGAAAGAGATCCGATTGGTGTCGACCCGAGATGTTTCCTGTTCACTTCGAGCAGGATCAGCATTGCCTTGAGGTGCTCTTATGCTCTACCAAAGTTCCTGCACAAGCATTAAGCGTCGAGAGATGTTCCCGACCCAATCCTCTGATGATAAAATTAGTAGAGTGATGATTACAATAATAACCTTGCTCCTCTAGGCTATAAGACTTGCTTATATACCTAATTGGTGGATGGAGGATGACCAGTTGCTTGTTCCCTCGGAACATATCTTCCTCATAACTGTATTGTGGAAGGACAATTGGGGGTGCATCATTTGTCAGGACAGGAGTACACCTAAAACGAGTAGGGATAGAGCTCGATGTTAGACGTTCGAAGAGTAGAGTTGAGTCATGCCGTTTAGGATTAATGCTCCCTACGATCAAACGTACAAGCCTTTTTGAAATCATGGTTGAGAGCGACAGATCTCTGGCGACCGATGACTCGATTAGGGGAAAACAAAAGAACGGGTCTGACCACCAATGTATCGATGATTGACTCATGTGATCTTTTCAGGATCACACTCTCATCGATCGCCACGAGAGATGACGTGAGCTCTCACGTGCGTGTCAACCCTCGGGTGGTTGTGTATGATTAGGGAAGTCAATAATTCAATGCTTATGCCATTGCTTTCCGTGTCAGCCGTGAACCATGCAGCTACAATAGCATTGCTAACATCCTATGGTTTCACCAAGTCTTAATTAATACCCTATTTATTCTAATCGCTAATGGAGCTTGTCCATCATCCATACTTTTAGGCTTGCATTGTCTCAGTCATCTAAGTAGAGGACCATCAAACGAGATCTAGAAAATGAGGACACCAATAATCCACCTTCTCCTACATAGCTAAGCTACACACATGCGACAAAGATAAGGACCAGAAAATGAGGACCCATGAGATGTGTGTTAAGTACTACACCATTGTAGCTTCTGTTCTTGATTCTTCCTATACCCTAACATTTCCCCAACCTTCTCAGAAGAGGTGCTTATTTCCATCACCAGAGTTTAACCAGAGAAGACACCCTCTCAGCTCCATTGTAGCAGTAGTTGTAAGCCCAGTCGTACAAGCACTAGACAAAGAGGACCGTTCTAAGAAGTTATCACTACAGCAGAAGTATCAGTCTTACTGTAATCAAAAGATCCTAAGCCAGCTGCATGTGTTTCACAGATATATAGTACTGTACAGGGATGATCTGGTAATATCGTATGAAGGTAACATGATGAAGAAGGAAGAGAGGACAAGAGCAATCTGAGCCTACACAACTTTTTCGTGGGTTGTGTTCTCCTGTAGTAGTAGCAGTAGAACCTGCACAAACAATCAAGCTACTGTGGAATATAGTATTGGCAGTTCATTCTAGCCATCCCATCTCATCTCCGTCTCAGAGCGCGCAGGTGTGGCTGTGACTTCCCTTTCCCCCACACGGTCTGATGAAGTCTATCTCTCTACGTAAACCACCTCAGATCCTCGTATATAAATACAAACACTGATACCCAGAATGAACTCAGATGCACCATCTCTCTCTCTCTCTCTGAGTGTGCCTAGAGGTGATATAGAACATAGGGGCTGTGAAGGACACACACAATTAAGGATAGGTTATGGAGATGGCCGGCGTCGGGTGTCAGACAAAGGCCACCAGCAGTCCAGGCCTTAAGCTCTTCGGATTCCAGGTCTCCGACAGCGACAACGCCACGAACGGCTCGGGGGATGTGGCGGCAGCAGACAGCTCCTCCTCTGCTTCCGGCAGCGTCGCAGGCGGTGGAGACGTGAGGAAGTACGAGTGCCAGTACTGCTGCCGCGAGTTCGCCAACTCCCAGGCTTTGGGCGGCCACCAGAACGCCCACAAGAAGGAGCGGCAGCAGATGAAGCGCGCCCAGGTGCACCATCACCACCCACACATGGCGTCACCACACCGCTCGCCCGCTGGTAACTTCTACCACCAACCCATCGCCTCCGCCTTCTCCCTGCCGCCGCCGCACCTCCTCTCGCCTGTTCATCGACCTCCTTCCCCTGCTACGACGGCGACGATGACGACGGTTGTGGGCCTCCAGGCGACTGCCGCCGGAAGTTGGGTCTACTATGCTCGCGCCGCCCCGCCCCTTCCCCTGTCGCGCGCTTGCGTCGTCCCGCGGGCGGTACCAACCTACTACTCCTACGCCGAAGACAGTGGCAGCGAGCTGTTCTACGACGATGGCCGACCGACCAGTGGACCCACTCTCCAGGGTGCGGCTCCAGCGGACGGTGGGGCGGAGGACTCGTACGGGTTGGACCTCCACCTCAGCCTCGCTCCCGCTCGTTCATGAATCGGTCTCGACACGGCGATGCTCCCGTGCTTTCTTTTGTGTCGTACGACCGAGTTCTCGATATCTGATGAATTCTATTGGACTTTTAGTTCCCTAAATTTCTGATTTCCCAATTTTCCATGTGATTCTCTTCTCCACTGGGTGATTTAAACCCCATACTTGAATGGCGCCAACAAGATTTTCTAGAACACAAAAAGATTTAGAAGAAAAGCTTAGCGAGTCTGCTCAGTGAACGAAACGAGCGGATTCGGTGTCTCGGCTCGTCGCGGAATCAGTGAGTGCGGTGGTTCAGAAGCTGCCTCGACCAGCGTACAACGGCCGACGCACTCGACCAATCATTAACGTCAAAAGGACACGAGGCGGACGATGACACGAAGTACAGAAGAAGTGGCTGAGCCCACCTTTGGGTCGGATCCCGACAGCCTCCATGGAATCCGAAGTACCATTCCCATGTAGCTTGAAGCGGGGGACTTGTACGCGTGTGCGTTGCCACTGCAAGTGTTTTCTCCCCTGTAAAGCTCCAAAAAACAAATAAATATCGAATATATTTTATCGTATGAATTGTAAGATGTGGTATGTCAAACACTATGTTTCTCAATTAATTTTCTTCTAATGGTTCCACAAAATTATAATTTACATTCATCTCATCACAAAATAAGAGGAATTGTTGCTACAAACATGAGTGGAAGACGAATAACAAAAGAAAGAAAGATAAGAAAGAGGAAAAAAAATACAAACAATAAAAAAGAATTTAATGTCCCCTTTTAGTTAACAAAATATTAATAATAATTTGTGAAATGCAGTTACATAAAAGAATTGGATATGAAATGTAGTGATAAGTAACTGTATTAATCATAATTAATTCTCAAAAATACTTGATTAATGGAGTTAAGAGATTTAATATTGTTGCTGAGTTATATATATATATATATATATATATATATATATATATATATATATATATATATATAATATTATATTTCTCATTCATAATTATAGCACGGTAAAAAGACATGTTTAAATCGTTTGATGAAAACTTACAATGATAAAGCAAATTGCCTATGCTTCCGAATAGCATCATTCTGATGTATATATATATATATATATATATATATATATATATATATATATATATATATATATATATATATATATATATATATATATATATATAGAGAGAGAGAGAGAGAGAGAGAGAAAAAAGAGCTTATGCTGTGTCAGGTGAGTTCGTTAAAAGAATAATAATTAACAATAATTTCAGTACTTATTTATGGATAATTATAAAAGTACAAAAGGCTTATGCAAAGTAAGAGTTGCAAAGATCATGCAGTGTTGTTATTTTAGAGTGTCCTCTGCTGGAAAACTGTCGCATGTATAAGCAGGACATATCATAGCCAAAATAATAATAGGCTTCTCCCCTAAACTATTAGGCTTGAATAGGTCTCGACAAATTACCTTTGGATAAGAACTGTTCATGTCCAGCTTCATGCCCCCACCAGCTTCCCTTGATATCGACCCTTCAACCTACAAGATCTACAAGCTTCATGTGTTATATTTTGCTGACAACATCCAGTACTGCATCGAATTAAATTTGAAACAAGCTTTCTCGACAGTATGCTTCATGCTTCTTCAATCAAACCCATTAAAAGACTCTGCTGCAAGTTTATTCAAGAGTATTTTTCTATTATAGATTCTTCAATCAAACGCATCTTGAGAAAGTTGCCATCACAAAGGCATATGACAATAGTGAGCACTCCACTCCACTGTGCTGGAATGGCCATTTCAGTGAGTCATCCATCACTTGAGACTAAAGTTGCATGCCTGCCGCTTGATGATTACTCCATAGTTATTAAACTACACTCTGCAGAAAAGCAAAGAAATCTTATCCTCTTAATGTGATCAACAAAGTTAATTTGCATTACTTCACTTATTTCCCGGCAATTACAGAGTTGCAAGCGCTCAACCAAAAAGCGAACGCAAGTTGCACACTTAACATAAAGATATGTTTTAACTTGAATTTTGCAGGTTTAGGTTTATTAAGATTTCTTTTCTTTACTTGGTATTGAGTCAAATATACCCACAGAAGTGACAATTTTCTGCAGGAGAAGACCCTAGAAAATAAGAAAAAGCATCTCAGTCAAACTGGGATGCTTTTCCCACACTTGATCTGTGAATCCGCTTGACAACCTCAAGTGGAGAGAGAGTCTTGAGGATCAAAGCCATTTGTGGTTGAACTAATAAGACATGAGTTTCCAAACCTTACCTCAGCTTTTGATAGACCGGCATTTGGGCAAAGTACCAAACACTGCACCACCAATCCTCTCTGGTGTTTCTTCACTTAACCCACCATATACACTTTGCAAAATTCTTTGAGCTAGAAAAGGTGTTCCACCCAACCTCCACAAGCACTGCATCATCAAGAGAAAGATTCAGCCTTTCAAACATCAAAAACATCAAATGATAGTGGTGGGTGGAGCCACACATGTTCCTATTCTGGTCGTTTTCTAGGTGAGGCATCTCAAGTCCACAACCACTCCCCCTCACAATTCCATGCCTGATAAGGGAAGAGCACGGCCTTTCTTTCTCTTGTCAAATAAGTGACCTGCATCACCAAGGTTGGATTGGGTCACTTTCTCTAAAGATGGCCACCAAAGAGACATATCTACAAAGGCAAGATACGCAAAGAGGATGCTAATTATGGTTTTGTGTAGGCTCTCTACAAGCTGTCCCCAGCTCCCAATTGGGCGGGGATCCAAGGTGGACCCACACTAAGATGGCAGCAGGCCCCACAAAGATAATCCTGGCATCAAGTCCTTGTCTTGTTGTCGAATAAAATAAGGAATTCATATTACGTGGAGCACTTGAAGTGGAAAAGGGACAATTAGGAGGGTCAACATAGAGTTTGAAACTTGGGGACAGCGGGTGGGTAATGGAGGTTCCCACGAAAAGATGCAGCTTGACATGTTTGAGAACAAGAGAGAAAGAAGCTTACTTCTTTGTGTACCACATCGCCCAAATGATGCTAAAAGAGTGCGGCTCTCTCACAGCTCTTTTGTGTGATGGATGAAGACCAACTCCTTCACGCCTAATGCCACTGCAAGCAGGATTTTTTTTTTTACCTCTTTTCCACCCAGAAAACAAAAGTAACTTGAAGAAATTGTTCCTCAACACTAGAAAACAAGAGAATATAACCATTAAAATGCTAAAAAAATATATTGCCATTTGATTAAGGCTGAAGTAATATAATCCAGCCTATCAATAATGGACACACAATACAAGAAAATTAATGGGTACGTAAAGAAGATCTTATTTTCATAAATACTAGACAATTCTCTTAACAAATTTCTAAATGTGCACACATACTTATAGTTTGTGAACAATTCCCACTAGTTAATAAGTAACGAGGCAAGAAATATCAAGATTAGATCAGATGACGACTGATAGTATGTGAAAGGGTTGTATGCAGGTTTGGAGGAAACTATAAGAAATGAACAGTTGTATTTAATTCTCTGAAACGAACAATATTTGCATTCTTCAGAGAGATTGAAATTTTCCACAAGCAACAAAATATCAGGTTACTGAAATGTACACCCAATGACTTCTTTTTCAACCATGTAGATAAAACACCAAGTGAGACAATTGCAGAGCACAACTGGCTTTCTTTCCCTTTCATCACTAACATAATAACTATCGGAAATATTCATGTGATGATATACTAGGTTGATCCATATCCTAGAAGCCTAAGTTTTTTGGTTGAATTGGTATCTGGCATCATATGACCAAATCTGTAGAACAATTCAATCTTTCCAATCATAGTGGTAAGACTGAAATTGGAACCATTTTTTTCCTTTGATTTGTCTTTTACATCAGGACTTCCATTTGGGCTATCGAATCTAATATCCTCAAATTTTGCCACTACTAGCATCCCAACTATAATTGATCACAATTTTATTTATTGTAACTAGGAGTGCAGATAATCTCTTTGTTTCAGCAGTTCATTTAGCTGCAATGAACAATGAACAGTACATAAACAGAAAACCATATAAACTCTAGAAAGAACTAATCTCATTCAGTTCAGGTTAGAACATAGCATCTTAATATATTTATATAAAAATGCATTTAGGAACATGGTATAAAGAAAATATGCAAGTATGTTAACAAAGATAGAGGTGGTATTATAGTTGATTTGTCAAACTTCACCATCACTATTTAAAATGAAAGATAAAAAACTAATCAAAAGAACTGCAAGCTAGAACAAGGTAAAAGTTCAGATGCTATCCAGCTCCAAATGACCAAAAAGAAACTATCTTTAAGTGACATTCTTAAGTTACTTTAACGCAAGGTACTTATATATTTTTTCTTGATCTACTTGTTTGTGTCCGCCTGAAATCATGCAACTGTCTACACAACAATAAGAAAATTAAATGTTAATTTATGATGCACCTCGAATTGATATCACCAAAAACCAAAAGTTAATACTTCTCAATATTCTATTTCAAATTGTGTCATTTCTTTTGCTAAAATTTTAGGCATTTTCTTAAGTTTCTCACTGGTATCCTTGTGTGTTATTGGGCACAAAACTCAATAGTATATGCAGCAGGTCTGCAAACTGATCCTCTGGAAGAAGAAGGTTGGTTCATGGTTGTGTGTATATATATAGGGATCCAAAACAATACTGCAGTAAAAGATTGGTATCCATAAACAGCAAATATGTGGGTGAAAGGTTTTAGTTCAGAGACCTGACAAGGTTGGAGATCTTCCAACCTTTGGAAGAAAGCAGCCTCAGAATCTTTCATCATTGCTAACTGCACAAACAAAGATCAAAGCATTAATTATTTTACCAAAGACTTCCACTCCCTTTTTGCATCTATATACCCAGAAATAACAATTCAAAGATGGCGTGATGAACACACCATGTTACCTAGAAATAACAATTCTCCTTCTCCACCTCTCCGTTCAAAGATGGCATGATGAACACACAATTCTCCTTACCTAGAACCAAGGCCACCAGTTGCTTTCTGTTCAAGGCAAAGTGGCTAAGACAATGACAGTGTCAGATGAATTACCTGTGCAGAGTGCAAATCAATAATGGATAAAACATTGGTTGTAATAACTGAAAAGATAACATAATATTTGGGGAACAAGTGCAACAAGTAACACTACTTTATCATTTCTACTGCCAATCTGCTCATTTGCCATCTCTCACCTGACAAGCTATTGATCTCCAAAACTGTTTTCTAATAAAAGAAGAGAAAAAATACCAGAGTGTCACAGACAGTAAGATTGACAGTTCTCTGCCCTGATAGGTGCTACCAAACCCTTCCATGTTCATCTTGCTCCATTTCTATGGTGGCATATAGCAGCAGCCCTTCGATCCATTATTCTCTTCTTGCTTCATGGATCTTCCAAATTCTGGTCAATTAGATTCATATGGTTTGAGTGGGTTCTCTAATTTAGCATAATGTTGACCATTCACCTATTGAGATCTAAGGTAGAGCTAACATCACACAGGGCAAACATATGTAACCTAACAAAAACAAATCAAATAAAAATTCCTCTTCTACTTTTTCAATTTGTATTGCTTTTGTTTATGTTGCGATCTTCACTTCTTTAGAATTAAGTTCTAGCCAATCAATTTGCTCATGATTTTCCTTGGTGTTAATCTAGATCACAGAAGTATTTATGAAATACCACTTAAACTCAAAATACAGTTTACCCCAATCGACTTGGCACAAGAATCGGCAACTTTGTATGGCAAAGAGAACAAGTCCTAATGTCCCAACTATTTGATATTTTTAGTTTAACGAAAGATATTACCTTGTATAACTTTATAGTTTAAATATAACTTTGTATGTCCGAACTTGGATCTTTTTCCATTATTGGGCTTTATACAAGGTGATATCTTTTGTTAAACTAAGAGTATTTAAAAATTTGTTTATAGTTTCTAGGAAATTTTTTTTATCTCCCTCTACCTCTCCTCACAAAACTAGTACTATTTGTCTCAACTGTTCTTTTAGAATATTACAAGGCTTCTTAAAATATGTTGTACCATCTTAAAAGTTAAAACAATTCTTTCTCATCTTATTTACATTCCACATACCTTCGTATGGCAAAAAAAATCATTAAACAAAAATCTCTAAAAAAAGATTGACCATGCCAAAAGATATTGTAGAGACTATTTCAAACTAAATGACTATTATGATCAACGCTAGAATTGTTATCTTAATGTTCCACGCAACATGGGCTGCTATACGATGGAGTGCCCAATGAACTCAGAACCTACCACCACAATTGACATAAAATATCAAGCCTATCTTAATGATAGCAAGTCTTAAGGAACTTGAAGCATCACCACAATTAAAGAATTCACCCTTGGCCATCATCTACAATCTAAAAATGATAAAAATGCACCATCCATGAGAAAACTAGCATGAATTTAGTAAATACAAGTGTTCGCTTGGAGATTACCACTGTTAAATAATTCACCCTTGATCTCAATCTAAAATAAAAATGATACAAATGCACATCTTCACCTTCACAAGAAAAAACCAGCATGAATTCAGTAAAGACCAGTGTTCACATTATTGTGACAATTCTATACATGCTGCAAACTACCTTAAGCAAGATTTCAGCCAGCAATCTGCTGCAGAAAGAATTGAACAGTTTGTCAATTGGTAGACCCTATTCCTACTACCTAAAATTTGAAGATCTTGTCAAATTTCATGCAAAGTTTGTCAGTTTGTCTCCTCACAACACAAGTCAGGCCATGCAGCAGATTAGAGAGGTGCTCTTATAATCTTCAGGTTCTTTTATGCAAAAAAGGAAGCCTTGAAAGCAATTAAATTCTCATCAGCATGCCTTGTGTCTCTACATACTGTTACATTGTGAACATATAGAACTTAAGTTTTCATTCTTCGATTATGGTTCAACAAAGATGCCAATGGCAAGGATTTCCAGATGGATCTCTTTGTCTTGTTATCATATAGGGATGTGTTGGTGGATGCTCAACGAGTCTAGCACCCCTAATTGGATTCTAATTGGATAGGCATATGCTAGGTTCTCACAAAATTTTTCTTTTTCCTTTTTGTTTTGGTTGGTGAGGGTTTGTGCTATGATTTCCTTCTATCTAGAGATCATAGATTGTGGCTCTAAATCAACCATGTATTTTCTCAGATTGAATCAATATTTTGCGTGTGGTCTCCTGCCCTAATGGCATAGTCTTGCTTCCGATCTTATAGAAACTCACTATGTCCTTCCAAGTCTTACCAGTTTCAAGACAAATAAAAAACAAGTGGTCAACATTTTCAGCATCTTTATTAAGCACAGACAGAACACTGCATCAAACATCTATTTGGGATCAGCAATTATTTCCCTCATACAGCTCATCAAGGCACAGAAGCAACCTTTGAAATTCTTGTTAAACCAAACAACCTTAGACCACCAGCCAATACTTACCTTTTCTTTTATAGAATACAAAGGCTCTTTTAAAATAAAAAAACTTTCCTCCATTATGTAACCAGATCATTTTATTGTCCATGCACTGAATTCTCACTGCTTTAGTCTCTTACCAGATCACTTCGGTAACTTAACTAACAACTGTATGTAAAAACCACTTGCCATTGACAATTATGTCTGATGCTTAGCATGTTCAGGAACTTGTGAATCTGATGCCCTTTTCACCAAGTCATGCATTATATTTTACTAAGTTATGCATTATACTTCCTCTAAGCAGCCAGTTATCATAATACTATAAACCATTCAAGGGTAACTGTGAGAAGGCTCTATATCACAGGATAAAAGAAAAAAAAACCAAGAATAGAAGTTCCAATGTGCAAAAAACATAAATATCAAAAAGGTATAGACTGCAGCAGAGAAGGACTAGAAAATCTGTTTGTCCCATGATAAAGCAATATACAGACACAAATTCCTTAGAGACGAGTGGCAACTCAGAGTTTCACAGTGCAACCTATGACACCATCACTAACCTGCAACAAAAGTTACTAGAAAGTTTGATGCTAAAGCATCTTATCTCTAGTTTTCTAACCAAAGGAAATACCAAACACCAAAATGCCTTAAGAAAAGGCTTTCATTTTATGCCTCTGGAATCCAAAGCTAATTTGAAAAAGAGACAACCTAGAAAAGCATATCATGCTAACTGTAACATATTATCATATTATTTAATCGGTGTTTTCTTACAAACATAAAATTATATTGATGACATTAAAGATCCACACTGGTCATGACAATATGATATGGCACTAAATTGTTTACTAACCTAGATTGGTCATAGCAAAATTTTTTCTGATGTAGCGGCATCATCCTTAATCATCCCTTTCGCTTCCCATCAACTCACATGTTCCTGACCTAACTACTTATGGTACACGTTATTCTCTAACAAAAGGTTATTCATAAAAAAAATAAGAAAAAAATAATAATTCAACAATTATATTAAACACAGAAGCAATGGAAAAGAGCAAATCAAGTAATTATGATGACAGAAGCATGAGTCCCCATAGCTAGACACATTCATGCCTAGGAAGAGTTATATCCATCTTTGTGTAATTTTTGACAAGGCCATAACTTTCTCCAATTTCAGTAACTGTAACATGTAATTCCAGTTTCCTATTCCATGTTCTGCCTTTCATGCTCCCTTGTCAATTACAAACGCAGTAAAAATCATGATCCAAATACAAAATATAGGCAAGAACGATCACAGAAACAAGTAGATTTTTGCCCACCATCAAATGATCAGAAACCAAAGGACCTTCCGCTCAAACACACCGAGAAGACAGGGCAAGGCAATGAATGGAAGAGAAGATTACAAACTCGTACGCGGTCCCGATCTCGTGATCGGACGAATCTCTCGGCACGCACGGCAGATCTGGATCGACGGATGGCGCCGAAGGAACCTCCATCCTCTCGACGCCACCCTCGCAACCTCTCACTCTCTCCTCCCTCGCTCCAAAACCAATCCAACGAACCCCACAGTAAAATGAAAAATACTATCATTCGATTTCGATTTTTCCGTATACTGACTTACCAAATCTCTTGTGAAAGATCAAACAACATCTTTCTTCTTTCCTTTTCCTAATGTAATCAATCTACCACATTAATCTTGAGCCTCGATGAAAACTTTGCACCGAATCAAGCAGAAATCATTATTCATATTCAAATCTCAAAGCTCAGGAACGAGGATCGTGATAAGAACAAGCACGCAGATCAGCAGTGATCATCAATTTGAACGCATTCAATTACTGTGATTACTTGCTCGGGGAAATAAGTCGTAATTGCATGGTTTAAGTTCACTCCGTCACGGGTTCTCTTTGCAGATGGACGTGGTTGAACGAATCCATTTGAGAGACGTCACTTGACATCAGTCTCAGTCAAATTGGCTTGATTCGCGACCTATAACCCGTTTAGGAAAGAAATCGGGTGTGGACCCGATAGACGCTCGAGTGTCAATCTTTTCACGCGCGTGAGTGCGATGAGACCTATAACCCGTTTAGGGAGACAACCGGGTTTGAACCCGAAGAAGGCTAAAAAATTTTCACGCGAGACCGGTCGCACCACCTCGTCCCTCTTCGCCAACCGGAGCGAGCCCTCTAATTCTTCGTCTCGAATAGATCCCTCGGCTAAACAGAACGCGACGCCCCCAGATCTCACGATGATGTCCCCAAAACCTCCCATGTCCGATGCCCGAGCTGCTCGCTCGACGTCTTCCAGTTCCAGGTGATTCTCTCTCTCGCCCGCCCTTGTCTCGGTGCTTTTAGGGTAGTGAAGCCGATCGATTTCTCTTATTCCTTCTGGGTTTGAGTGTGGGAGCATTAATCTTGGAAAACCCTAACGGGGGAATCTCTGATGGGGTTCGGTCTTCGTTTTTTATTTGACTTGAACCCACGAATACGATGACTTAGTAGGCGCGGAAGGAAAAGCAAATGAGACCTACATGCATTCTTGGTATTGGATATTGCATGTCGTGGGAGTTTCAGATTTGTAGGATTTCTGCAATTAGAAAAAAGTAGAACAGCTTGTGGGAATTGACAGAAAATTCATAAATCAACGACACATAAGTAACATCACATAGTCAAACTGTCCTTCTGCAGGGCACCACAGAGGCCCTTGTTGTTGTTGGCGCTTGCAGTTGACATAATAACACCATATTTTGGACTTTGGAGTGACGTTAGATGCAGAACAATGCCAATTGTTTTCGCTTCTCTTGCATCTAGATATGCTGATTCTATAAAATTCGTAGAATGTGATTGTGCAATGTTATTAGAAGAAATCTAGTTCTGCACACATTTAGCTGCAGCTGTGAATACTACCAGCCCAACTTATTCTTTGTGGGAATTGATGTCCAAGATTTTGCTATTTGAAATTAATCTGTATAGTGTGGTAACAGGGGCTTTGCACGCAAGCAGGTGAAGGGAGCTGCAGAACCCTTTGGAAGTGCGACACATGAGCTTCTGTTTTAATGGACATCTCTTAGTAGCATGGTCCAAATGATTGAGTTTGATGTTGGTATTAACTGTGGATCATAATTGGATTATTCAGATTAACAAAATGTTATCAGTCTATTGGATTGGATGCTTGAGATCAACCCCATTGGCATCAATGTAGGCCCAACTATATCAGTAAGAGTTGGTGGGTTTTACAAGAAGCCCAAGACTAGCCTATAAACCTATCTTGACTGACACTTCTGGTGATTTATTAGCACCAAAAATATCAGGGGTTGATGTTAGCTCAAGCTGATTTATATTTTGATCTGTTGGTCAGTTGTTAAAAACACTCAGTACATGGTTGGTCAATTTGAACAACTAATTAGGAAAGAAGAAGTTGTAAGTTTAGCCTCTAACAGAAGTCATAGTAAGTTTGGCAAACCAGTCTGCTAGCGCGTCAGCCTCTTAGAAAATATGTTTCTTATTTTGTCTGTACATGAAAAATATGATACTGATAGTCCAAGGAACTTAACATTTAATTTGCCCATGATGGAGATCAAATTCATACCAATTCAGTTTGAATATGGTTTATGTGGTGATATTTATTATTTTATATGAGATAATGGTTTTTGCCTTTCTGTAGACGTCATAGTAAGCTTGTTTGTGTCTACTTTTCTTTATCCATTTTCAGCACTGTGTTCTGTAAAATTGTTCCTGTGGGAGATTCTAAGCTCCTCTAATATTGTCATGGTGAGCCCTTACAGTTGTTCTATCTGGTTTGCTAATGATATTCTCTGTTCATAGATAAACTTGGTTTAACTAGCAATAAAACATGTGTTAATTTTCACATTGCTCTTGTAGGCACACTCCCTTGCAGATAATACATGTTATTGGGAACTTTATGAGAATATGGTCTGTTTACTCCTTGTATCACTATCTATCGCATCAAGGAGATAGTGTAGTAGCTTTTATTTTCAGTTGCTTGGTTCCAGCTTCTATTATTTTCCTGGTGCTGCAAAAGCCTTGGAAAGGGAGGCCTTTACCCAATTCACAGGTGACCTAAGATCTTTTTGCTCTTTATAGTTTATATAAATAAAAGACTAGCCATTTCTGTAATTTTTTGCAATTTGCAACCATCTGTTACATTTTATTCATCTTCTGAAGTCAGCATTCTTTCAGATAATACCGACTGTCATTAATGGAGGAATAATGGCATTATATTTCATATTATGGGGAAAAGGACTTTTATCATGTGGACCACTAATGTAAGTTGTGCTTCTACACATTTGAGATTTAGATTGAACTTTTCTTTTGTGGCATTATTGGCAATAACTGACTGAAACACAAGAAAAAAGGTTATCTAGGCACAGTATTGAGATAAAAAGGTCCTCTCCCTTCTCTTTGCCTTATAAAGCTTAAGCAAATGGACTTCTAATTCCTCAAATTGGACAAGATGGACTTGTTTCCTATATTGGATGAAATTAATATTTATGTCTTTAAATTGGAGTCAACTTATTGTTAAACTGGGGGTAGATGCTTGTTTATAGATGACCAAGTGATGTTAGAAACAGAATATACTAGTTGAAATAGGACTCCCAACTTACCCATAATGAGTGTTATGTTATACTTTAGCTTAAAAAAAGGGTTTTGAGACTTTAATCTGTGACTATTTTCTTGATATAAATAAATTTTCAACTAGTCTACATATAGAAAATTTGAATAAAGTAAAAAACCACATGAGACAAGTAAGGCACTTACCATTTTTGTATTTGTACTGGTAATATAAAGCATGCTCATTTTGCAATTGGAAATTTATGCTGAGTTCTTACTGCTCATTATTCTTCTTTTGCAACTTCAGTGCTCTACTGGCCGAGTATGCAGGTGCTGTTCTTGGGGTCTTATCTGCAGCATTATATGGACGGCAAGTCCATATTTGGAAAAAGGTTTGTTGTCTTTCTTGGTATTCAGTAATGCATCTATTAAATTTTCAATGATGAATTTTTTGGAACTGTAATATATTATTTCATCACTTGGTGCACATAGGCATGTGCAGGAGCAAGACCAGTTGTCAAATTTAGCACCTAATGTTTGTGAGCTAAGAGCCAATCTAATTTTAAGATGACAATGAAAGGCTATAAGATAGGATATACACCATCGAATTTGTGCTTCTCAGCCTTCTCTAGGTCGACGAAGAAAAAGTCAAAACTTCTCATATATATAGAGTGCCACTGATGCCAACAGTCCTAACTTAAGTCTAGTAAGAACTTACTCTAGAATCCTCTACCAATTTATAAATGATAAACTGAAATAACTTCAAAATTCCCTGCCAGAATGGCCTATGGATACTTCCAAACTGCTGTCCCTGCTGTATATGTTCTGACCAGTTCCCTGTCAATGGCTTCATGGGGTTGCTTGGGAGCCCTTAAGATTGAGCTGGGTATTTACTTCCAAGTTGGCTAGCCTGCTTGATCAGAAATCACAGGCTTGCAGTCCCGCATTGGGTGTTTTATTCTGTCTACTACCTCTGTCCTGATGCTCTTTCGGACCTCAGTCAAGTCCTAATTGATCTAGGATTGCTGTTCTTACTTTTGTGGTGTCCTCGAGTCTAATTCGAGTGGTTTTTGTTGACTTGAGTTCACTCCTAATGCAAGTTGTAGGATGCTGGATTGGAAAGGATACCTTTCCTATTGTATCTTGGAGCTCTCTGTTCTTATTGTGCCTCATCTACTCCTGATCAATTTGGGGCTAATATCATTCATGCCGAGGCTGACACTTGTTGTCCAATGCTTCCCTAGTAACCAGCCTTGCTGACAATGAGGCCAGCCACCCTTAACAGCATCAATAGACCCCTGATATGGCTGGCTATGCCCTGGGTTTGGCCGGTCTGATTTAGGTTTGAGTCAGGTTCTGGATTAAATCTAATTTTTCTTCCCCACAATGCTGCAAGTCACCTGCTTATTCATCATGCTGTTGACATTTTCTGTTTATGTTTTAGCAAGATGTATTTACATTCCATACATCATTTGCTATCACAGTAAAGTCAATATAATAACACAAAAAATTCTCATGGGCCTTTTTCTGAGAGATTAACTTGCAAAACATAATCCTTGTTTCTTAGGCTGCTTGATCTGCCTTTTGCAACATTTTGCAAGAATGTAATACAAAAATTGAGGTATTGTCTGCTATTGACGATTTTTTTTGCCTAGGTGGGTGGACTCGTTGCAATGCTAGCTTCCTACTACTTCTTGTCAAAAGGATGGGCTACAAGAACAAACTCACCATTTTGTATCCTTTACAAACTAAAAATTTTACCTCAGTCTGCACTTTCTTCTCTATTATTATGCTTAAGTTACAATGGCATATATATATACATACATATATATATATATATACATATATATATATATATACATATATATATATATATACATATATATATATATATATACATATATATATATATATATATATATATATATATATATTCATTTTCATAGAAGTTTGATAAGCTAGTAATAAGAGGTACTTGACTTGTTAACGCTGCTTATAGATAGCTTTGGCAAAGAACCACTAGTGCAAGCAAAACAATCTTTAGGATTTAAAGAAATGGCAGTACCCATTTCTGCTGGAATTTTATCGGCTTTGAGACGGGTGATTGCTCGCCGTGTGTCACTCAAGGTATTATTATCTCTTATGGAAAAACTTCTGTACAATCTTTGAGGTAGAAATTGAATGTCCCCTATTAAATTGTGGATGTGAAACAAAAGTTAGACATTTATAATAACTAACCCCTGAATTATTTCTTCTAGAATCAACTTAAAAGGCGACTTCATGCAATATGTATTGCTTCTGCAACGTGCTTTCTTTTTCCTCTTGCCATGTGGGACACTATCTTAGTAAGTGCAGTTTATGAAATTGTTTTTTATATGTAATTAAAAGTTGAGAAATATTATTTTTCTGTGTGATACTTTCCAGTAGTCTTAAAGTTGTCTGTTTATCTAGTTTATTCATGTGTGCTGGTAATTGATTGACTGCAGGGATCAACATCTGATAGCATTGTTAAGTTTCAGCTTCCAAGTTGGGCATACTTGAGTACTGTCTTCTTTGGAATCATCTTTGTATTCTATGCCGACAACATTGCGGAAGAAAGGTTCATTGTTAACAAAATCACCATACTATTTTTTAATTACTTCAACACAAAATCTCTATAGAACTATTTAACTTCTATCATTATGGTTCATTGTTTGCATATCTTATATCCTTTTAGCATTTGCAATGTTGAAACAGTTTATTTAGGTGACATGGTGGAAATGTGAATTTCTAAGCCATGTATTTTTTTTTGTGGATTGTCAAAATTGTGATCTGAACCATTGGATAGTATGATTCTACGGCCTGGATCAACTCCAGAGAGTCAGTTCAGAACCAGTTTGCATAGTAGAGTTGGGTCAACCCAGAAAAAATGGTCAACTCCTACTAGTTGACCCACGTTTGCCAAGTCAACTCAAGACCATACATCAAAACCAATTCAAGTCAACTCAACCCTAATGGACGCTAACCATAGTTGAGAGCCTTTTCCATCTCTGCTGAGCTCAATATCAACTTATTGACTCATGCTGACAAAGGTGATATTCTTAAAGAGATATGACATATGTTGTATGGGACATTATCATTGTCTGTGGAGAGGCAGTTGTAAAATTTGCACGCCGAAAAGAGGTGTGGTGGTTCGCCTCTAAGGCATTGCTGCCATTGGCAGATACAAGCGGAGTGGTGGCAGTGATGCCGGAGGCTTGGTGAAAAGGGATTGAGGAAGATGGGAAAGGTTTGGGGCATGAGTATTCAGTAGGGTTTTGTGGGTGTGTGCAACTTACTAATGCTACTGCCTTGGTTCTAGGTATTTGAATTTTTAAATCTTTGTGTTTCTTTGGTCTTTGGCCTATAACGAAAAGACCATTTCTTAAACCATGTGGTTCTCATGGTTCATGTAAAATTGATGGTTCTTCCATGGTAAGAAGCACATCTTATTCTAACTGGAACTGGACTGGAGGGGGTCCAGCTTCTGTTTCTTGCAGTTGAACTGGCTTGTGTAGTCTGGTTGTCATAGCTATAAACAATATAAAACTGAAAGTATAAAATATAAATCCCGGTTTGATTTCATAAATTAAATCAAGTATAGCAGTTATATTTATTGTCGAAAGTTGTGAGACCAGCTAATATTTTAGGCTTATTCAACTATACATCCTTATCTGACTAAGTAGACATGTTTGTGTACTGTTGAAACCTGAAATTAGAAGTATAGAACAGTTTGTTAGGCAACATGGTTATAACTCATAAGCACGGATAAAAATGGTGATATTGGCCATAGACAAAGCTTTTGAGAGAATTGGCTGACTAAGCAAACAAATTTTATCATTTTAATTGGTTGTTAGTTATTTTAAGTTGCTATCTCTTACATATGCAGCTTTGTGTCTTTTTATGGAACTTTGTGATCCTTAGGTTTTTATGACAATCATTGAATGATTGTCATAAGATACCATGATGCTGTTACACTAGATATTGCTGAAATCCTCCAAGGAACTTTCTGAGCATTGAAGCCAAGTTTCTTTAACGATGAGATCTCTTTAAATGTGACTACATTGCTATGTTATATTGATCTTTATAACCATAAGGTGATTACTCATGTATATGTCTAAGAATTAGAATAGAACTGGGAATGACATGCTTGGAACTGAGTTGAACTAGTTTGACATTGTAGAAAAAAAATTGTGGTGCCATGATCAGTTCCCAATATAAATGTATATCACCTGACATTTAACGTGATGTCTGTTGAATATATTTGAATGGTTAATAGTGGAGCAATAATATCAGAAAGGATGCATCTCTTGCCATTTATATATAAACTTTATTATCGATTATCCTTTCTCACTGATCTTTTTTAGGTATGTTTTTCTTGTCTTATGTTCTTCGGAGGCCTAACCACCTGACATCTAACATTATGTCTGTCGAATATATTTGAATGGTTAATAGTGGACCAATAATATCAGAAAGAATGTATTTCTTGCCATTTATATATAAACTTTGTTATCGGTTACCCTTTCTCCCTGATCTTGTTTAGGTATGTTTTTCTTGTCTTATGTTCTTTTGAAGTCTAGTTGGATTTACTTGAGGTTTAATCTTTGGCAGATTGCATCTTGTTTTCTCTTCTCCACGGCATCTCATGATTTCAGGAGGGTCTATCATCCTTATGGAGATCTTATACCAAATGGATTTTTCCCTAATAGGTTTTGTGACTTGCTCTTTAATATTGGGATTTGGTATGTTTCTGTTTCCTATTTTGCTGCATGTTCTATTTTCCAGAATGTTTGTGGAGTATCATGGATAGTATTTTTTTGATCTTGATCATACTATACTATGGTTTTGATCTTGATCATACTATATTCTCACTAGGTATTTTTGAAGCAACCTCTTTGGGAAGATCAAGAAGAGGTCCTTTAGAATCTCAAGATGCTTCAGAGGAGGCTTTTCAGAACCAACTGCAGATGTCTTCACTTCCTAGCTGATGTATGTACTTCTACCTGCTTTATATGATTAATGTTAATCCACAAAGCATTTACCAATTTATATACTTACCTCATGATGTTACATCATCTAAATCTATTTTGCTTATAAGAAAATGGTCATCCTTTGACATACCTAAAATTGTATCATGGAATATAAATTTTATTGTTATTTGGAAGAGTTGTTGGAGAATAGTCTAAAGAAAAGTTTGCTCTGGAGAACATGTATGCTTATCCACCTTCCTATTCTTTGTTACTTTGGAATTTTCCTTTCTTGATTTGTTTCTTCAGTTTTATATTGATATCATGATAGTCTCATATGCTGTACAACTCTACTTCAGTATGTCCATGATATTTATAAAATATTGTGACTTCTAATGGTGCTCTTTGATTTCAGCCAGTAGATTGATCTATTATAAGCTAAATTGTATGTGATAAGGATGACATATTGAGTTGAGTAGGTAGCACAATATTCAGAAATGGTTATCTGTTAAAATACTTGGAATGGCTTCCGGAAATAAGATTCAGAAAAATTAGAATTTCAATTGTTTCTAAAGTTATAAGCCACTCAAAATCATATTGATCTCTTTTTGTCATATAGGTAATTGGCATAAGTTGCACAACAGTTAGCATGGAATGGTTTACATTTGTTAAGAGAATTTTTGATGTCCTAAAGCTAGACATGTCAGCTCTATTGAAGAGACAAAAAAGTGCACTAGTTTGGTAATTTGGCAAAGTCTTATTGGCTTCGCATGTTTGAGCATGTTGCTGATCGATTTGGTATAGTGGAATATACTGCAATTTGTTTGAGTATCATATATTTTTTTATCCTCAAAAAATCACACAAATAGTAACGAGGCATATAGAAGGACAGAGTAGTGATATAGCTGACTTCAATTTATGTCTCGTTACTTGGTATGTTAACATCCTTCAACATGTTAAATTTCAGTTTTTCTTGTACATAAATTTAAAATCTATTATATTTATATTTACTTGAATGTAAAGGTGCATTGATGCAGTAGATATACGTACTTAAATGCATTTTGTCAAATTATAGCATGAGACCTATACTTGTACAAGACAAAGCCAGCAACCAAAATGAATCACAATTGACTCTATGATATTCCAAACTCAATTTTTTATCAAAAAATAAGGAATTTGAATGAGTTATTGAATACTGAAAAGGGAGATCCCCAGTGTATAAGGCTTCCACCAACATGGCATTTGAGAAAAGGTTAATGTTATTCAACCTTACCTCCACTAGCAGTGAGGCCATTTCTGTGACTTAAACCTCGGTCAACCATATTCATAAAGAAGCTGCGACACCAAGATCTACCCTTTTTTGAGAAAATTTTGAATTATTAACTTCAGACTGATCTACCTATATACAGAAATATCTATATTTACAGGACTAATGCTGCATATATCGATTTTTCCTAGACCTTAAGTTGACAGAGCCTTGTGCACTAGGTTCGCCTTTTTCATTTGATCCACTCAAGTTTAGTAAGACTAAATGTTCAGGCCATCCAGCAAATTAGCTTGGATTTTCATATCCAAGGTCTTGACTCCCATGTTTCTGGCTCAGACCTAACCTTTAGATGAGCTGGTCCATGGGTGGCTTGAGCAAAGGCTTTGGAAGAATGGGCAAGCCTATGAATATTTTCAAGTGTACAATCGACATGGAGGGAGTCCATAGAGGAGGTGAATAAATGCTCTCAAAGAGTGATTGGTGGTGGGGATAAGCAATGTGTGTCGTCTCCCTTGTATCAACATCAATTATTCAACTTGGTAGCCTTGTGAACAGGTATCATTCGCTCATGTTTAATAACAGTAGCTATATATCATGATAAGACAAAATCTGATTGGGACAAATGGACAAACAGTGAGTGATGCATACCTGAAAGCATTCCTATGCTTGTAAGAGTACTGAGAATTATTTTCCTTATCCTTGTTCTGTTCTTAAAAATAGATCAAACTAAAAGTTTCATCTGCCATGGATATCACAGCACAGTAATCCTTGATGCCACATGCACTAGAAGGCAGGGATTGGTCCAATGCCACTCCGTTACAAAGTCGCTGTCTCTTGCACCTGGAAATTCACACTGGGAATTACTCATCCCTTTTCCAGCTGGTGCAAATTTATGTATCAGCATGCACTTAATTGTCTCGCTAGGGAAGTTAGTCGACTGGAACAAGTTCCACTGACATCACCAAATTTGGTAATCCTTCAGCTATTATATCAAATTTGTAGGTTATGCAATGTCTATGATATCCTTGCATTTCCATTTAGGGAAAACACTATCCCAAATGGTTTGTAGAACTAATTGATCATTTGTATTTTTTAAATAAATTATGTAAGACATCTAATATTCTATGAATTCATTTCAATAGCTTCTTTAAGTAAACTACATTGTATTAACAATAACTTCCTTTTCTTGTAGGATTTATTTTCATAGCTGTTCTGTCATTATCATATCAATTTGAATTTGGTGGCGAAATTGATGCATAATTTTCTTTCCTGAGGTACAAGTAGAAGTACATAGCATATGTTTACATCAGTATATGATAATTAATGGGCATGTGAAAGCAATCATTTTTGTTCCATTTTAGCTGGTGCCATTTTTGGAGATGATTGAGCAGTTAATTTTATTAATTTTCCTATTGAAACTAGTGATGGGACTGAATACATATATTTATTACAAGAAATATAGCCGCAACAGCAACTTCCATTTAATTGCATCGAACATGAACCATATCCATTAGACATTTATTAATAATATAATTTCAATTTGAGCACAGTACCTTGAATTGAAATTCATATTTTTTCATCTATGTTATGCAAATTTCACTTGTAAGGGTCTGGTTGATTCTATAATTGGGTATCGTGCGTACCTGGGAACTGCATGAGCATTTTGTGGTTTTGTTTTGCTGTCTGTTTACGTATATCTAATTCATACTTATGGAACCAAGCTACAGTCCAAAAAGTAATGGCCAAACCTATGGTCGAAGCTTCTAGGAGTGAAAGATGCAGAAATTGGTGCTGTTTAATCTTTATCATTCATAAAATTATTGTGCCAGTTATGTTTGATACTACATTTCTGTTAGCAGCTTGGTTTTCTGCTTTGGGATTCAGAGTACTGAGATGAAAACATATTTTGTTTTGATTGGTGTTCAACTGTAAATTCATTTGACCGCCTATACAAACTGCTTCATAGAAGTCCTCAACCTTAGGTGTGGAATGATATCCAGGCAGCAGCACATGTAGTATAGTTTGAATATTCAATCATCTCTCTGCTAATGATGCAGCCATATGTGGTGATTATATAGCATTAAAAGTTGCTTCCTGCAGGATTCTTTGTTTAGTTACCTTAGTGTCATTGCTTCTTATATTGTCATTATTGTTATAATACATGAACCATGATGATGTAATATTATCATATATGCAATCACTTGTACTTCTTTCTCATTGCACCTTTATTATTTTTTGCATTATGTTATAACACATGGGTCATGATTGGAGTAACTGGACCTCTTGAATTTTCATGTATCTGCATTTCATCTTAGATATCCTTAATTAGATTATTAAATTACTGTAACATCATCCCATAAGAAATTCTCGATTTACCTACAGTTATTTACCCATTTATTACTCAAATCAGAGTGTGTCTTTCTTATCCGACACTTGATGGTGCATTGTTCTGTATGAAGTTACAAGTTTTATGATTGCAACTTGTGCGGATAATGGTTATGCATTATATGAAGTGTGCTGTTGCTGCTAATGGGATATTGTCCACTGACATTGTAAACCACCTAAAGATGCATCAATTGAACCAGAAAATAAACCTACCCAATATTTTCTAATGCTGTATTCCATAGAGAATTTGAGGAAGCTACCTACCAGTCTGCTTTATTTCATCTTTTAGACATAACAAAACTATTCTTTCTGAATTAGTCTTCTTCATTTGGTAATACACGTTTCCCTTTTATTTTGCTTTCACTGTACCCATTTTACTCCTATGTATTTGCAGGATCCTTGAATGTTCATTTTGCTTTATTGTTTCTAGAGTAACCATGATATTTTCCTATTATTACTTTATTTATGAACTAATATGGTATTACCGTGGCGTGCAGTAATATACAGAAGATTCATTACGCCTCACCGTAAATTTTCTCAACCAGTTACCGAGATAGTCAAGTACAGAGCAGTGCATATGATTTTGCTCAAAACTGAATTTTCATCTGTGCGAAATGAACTCATGATTACCATAGTTTTAGGATATTGATTAGAGCAATTGTTCCTATTCTTATGTACTATAACTGCCCTGTAAAAATCTTGGGGTTTATACTGCAAAAGAGCACTTGCATGTTCACGTCTTGCTTCTTTCTTGTATTGTTGTGGCGTGTTGGAAGATAAACCAATTGGTTTCATTCACTCTTGGAATTATGCATCTGTCTCATTTTTAATAATCCAGTTGTGGATTGCTGAGATAAACTCTACCGTCAAACAGACGGATGCTTGCTGGAGTTATTAAAAGCGCGTAGGGAGTGCCCAGGCATGCAAAGGGAGGGGGAGAAGTGGAATTGAAGTCAATTAAGACTAAAAGAAGTTTGCTGGAGAAGTGGAACCCTGTCTGCTTTGACTTTAATACTGAAGACAATTGAGACTAAAATAAGTTTGCTGGGTTTTCCTTATAATTTCTTAGAATAGCGTTCGCTGATAAAGGATTCTGCAACATCGTAATGTCACGTAGCTTCCATATCCCATGTGTTCCATACTCTTTTGTTTTTCTTGCAGCACTTGTCGGGGCAGAGGAGGATAAGAGCTTTAATCACATCTATCCACTGAAATTAATGCTATAAAAGATCCTCCTGTACACGGGCAACTTGTACTCAAATTAAATATTTTTAAACATGGTGGTAAGAAGTTAAATTTAAATTAACAAAATAAGAAATATTTTTATTCTTTGCCATTGTAACGGTAGAAGTTAATCAGCTGACCAAGTGATTGAAGGTACAAGTCTTAAAGGGCAATTTTCCTATAAAATACTCATATTTTGAGTTATTTCTCAAAAGTATATTTTTGTTTTTTTTAAATAATACCTCTAATTCAAAAAAATCCAAAATATCTCTTAATTTTTTTTGTCAAATGTATTTTTATTTAGCTAGTTTATAGTATTTTTTTAATAATGTTTACAGTATTTTATTGATGTATTGAAAATATTGTAAACACTATTGAAAAATGCTATACGTGATATCATATCATTTTTTAATTATTATTCTTATAGGTCATTTTAATATTACATTTTAAGCTTGTAATTAGTTTAATTAAGGTTAAGACTCTATTTAGATCATTTATAATATTTTTAAGTAGGTTTTGTAGTGTTTTTGTTGTGATGGTCAAAATACTATAATAGGTTAAAAATATAGATTTGAGAAATATCTAAAATATTTTTTTTCTAGAAAAATCAATAATTTCTCTCTCTCTCTCTCTCTCTCTCTCTCTCTCTCTCTCTCTCTCTCTCTCTCTCTCTCTATATATATATATATATATATATATATATATATATATATATAAGACCAGATTTGAAAAGTATTAAGTACGAACTCACTAATTTGCCTTGAGAAACGTGGCCAGGAAACTTCCAACGCCTCTGTTTCACGAGCCGTGTATATATATACTCCGTGCCGTAGTCCGTCATCCAACCTATCATTCTTCCTCGTCTGACATTGCTTGGGAAGAAAGGAATAGCATAGCGATGGCTGAAGGCGGTGCAGAAGGCAAGGCGAAGAGGGTAATGGTGGCCATCGACGAGAGCGAATCCAGCCACTATGCCCTCGAATGGGTCCTCTCCAACCTCCGCAGCTCCCTTTCCTCATCACCTCTCGTCGTCTTCACGGTTCAGCCCTACCCCGAGATCAGCTACTTGAACGCCGCCTCCTTCGGCGCTCCTCGTATGTCCATCCAAGCTCGATGGGTCCTCCCTTCAACTAATTGATTAGTTTCGAAAATATTTTATCTTGGGAGAGGACTGGATCTCTAGCGGTCACAATGTTCTGTCTCTCGATCGTTGCATGTTCGAGGAAACTATCCTGATGTGTTCTAGTTGTGATTTTTCTTTCTCTTCTTTCCTTTTTCCCTCAGCTATGGAGTTGATCCAGACGGTGCAACAACACCAGAAAGAGCTTGCACTTTCTCTGCTTGAGAAGGCGAAGGAGATTTGCATCCAGCATGGGGTGAGTCACATACTTTCTTCTCTATTTTTGTTCTTCCCTCTTTTTTAACTTGACTGTATGTTTGCATTAGAATGAAGCGTGCTTCCTCTTTACATATGTTGATTATCTAATTGATGGCCGTTTAATTGATCTTTGATGCTTGTGAGCTTTCTTCCAATTCTAGTCTATTAATCATGGTTACAAATAAAACAATTTCAATTGTGACTGGTTGCCTGTTGTTATTTTGTGAATTGGAGACTTATTATTATGTCGATGAAAGATCTTGTAACTGACAAGTGAAGCATTTTTAGGTTTCAAAAATCTTAAATTGGGATTTATGTTTCTATTTTTTGGTGCCTTAGCTTTTTAAAGGCTTTGATGCATGTCTTTGCATAAAGCACATAGTTTGTTGTCCCAAAAAAAATATCCACCCCTGGCACAAATGACACAACGGCTCAATTCTTGTAGTATCATGAGACTTGACTAACTCATTGGCATAAGAACAAAATATAATTGGTCAGTTGACAAACTAATGAATCATTGGCTTTAATCTTATGTCATCGACTTCCATTTTGCAGCTTGTGAATTTTCCAGTTGTAGTTACTGGCTAGAGATGGAAGGTATCATATGCAAGAGTGTTTTGACACAGTTTGACCAAGCTGGTACGTCAAATATAACAAGATTTATTTTAGCTCGATGTGAGAAAGAAGAATGTTGCATACAGTGTTTTTAAAGGCTTTAGGCACCAAGGTCCCAAAACACCGTGCTAGGCACTTGCCTAAGTGCCCACACTTGTGAAGTGAGGCACTCTAAAATATTAAAATATAAAAAAAATATAATACGATTGATAAATATGATTCTAAAAATAAAAATATGATAATAAATTGAAATTTAGTACCAAGTCACTTTGTCAATCTTCTAATAATTAAAATGTCAAAAGATTCAAAACAATAACTTTTTACATCAAATTCGATCGTCATTATCAACATCATCCTTTAGATAATTGTATTTCCAACCAGGATCCTTTCTTCTAAATTATTTTGTACACTTGTCATTATTCCTAAACCCTAATAATAGTTCTAAATAGGGATTTATTATATTTCTAAATAACGATTAATAGTGCTAAATAGAGATTGGTAGTTCTAAATAGGAATTAGTTCTAAATATGGTTAATAGTTCTAAGGATTAATATCAGTTTTAAAGAATTATTAGGGTTAATAGTTCTAACAGTGCATAGTAGTGAGAAGATGAGTCATTGACGGTGGAAGGTGAGGAAGGGGAGGAACCTTTAGTCAACGATAGTGGCGACGGAGAAAGCTGCAGACGACAGCGGAGAAAGCTATGGTGGGCGACGTCGGGGGAAAAGGAAGCTGTGAATGGTGACATTGGGGGCAGAGGAAGCTTCAGATATATCAGTCAGTGGCGGAGAAAGCTGCAAACCAACCCCTTGGCGACAGAGTGAGCTGCACATGAAAGTAACGGCAGCAAGGGGAACTACCCACGAGAGCTGCAGCAGCGAGAGCTTCAGACCTGTTTGTCGACGGCGGAGAGAGCTGCACACGGAGGCAGTGGTGGCGGAGTAGAGGTGCGTCAGGGGCGGCGATAGTAGTTCGAGTCTTACTGTGGCATGGGTTTTACTGTGCATGTGTGGGTCGCACAAGGAGAGGGGTTTGTTTACTGTGCTTAGTTGGTTCGAACCAACTAACGCCTAGTTCAGTTGAACCAGTTGATAATCTGGTTCACATTCAATCGGGCACTCGCCCGAGGTGCCCGACACCTAGGCTGAGGCAAGCGCCCAGACAACACTTCATTGAAACGTGTCGCTCGAGCACTGTGCGAGGCACTCGGGCCTCGTCTCGCCTCGCTTGAGTGCCTAGGCAAGCGGCTGGGCACCTTTTAACAACTTTGGCTGCATGCTTAGGACAATTGCTCGAATGATGGTGTATTACTTTATTCCTTGTTGAGGAACTCTATCAAGAGTTCATCAAAGCAGTTTGAGCCCAATGAGATTGTGTAAAAATCTGCGCTTGTTTGTGTGTGAGCATTATCAAGGAAGATAGTAATTATCGTTCTGTTTCAGCAGAATAACATGAGTCATTTGAAAAATCATGTGAACAAAGTTACAATCTGCATAATATCCATAGTGTTGAAATTTGTCACTGTTCTCGATGTAAAGTCCCCTATTGATCAATCATAAGAGAATGTTTCTTAAAAGTTAAACATATATAAATTGATCATTTACTTTACTGCTAAAAAGCTATTGAGGACCAACCAATAAAATGCTTTGCTATAAGAGTTTGCTGGAGTAGTTTCTTAGTATGATGGCATTAATAGTTATCTCATCAAATGATCATCATCGTTGATGTGATCTTGGTGCATTATTATCTTTTTGTGTTGTATCAACAGCATGCTTTCAGAATTCTTTGTGGTTAAATGATGGTCTCTTTGATGTAATCCATTCCTGTTAGATGATAGGCTATAAAGTGATTAGCAGATACAAAGGTCCAGTTGCTTATACGTGCCATATCAGTATTTTATATTCTCTAGCTTGCTATATTTGAAGTCCTATATACCACATATCAGCTAAATTTGCATTTATTGTTTATACTAACTATCTCACATCCTCTAGGCCAATACCAAATTATATTTTGCAGTCCATGAAGACTTTGTTGTTAATGCTGGTATATTATTAAATTGTCAACATCTTTCACCGCACAAGTTATAAAAGATTGTCCTATCACCTATGTGTGCGTGCAGTCATGCTTGAATACTGTTGATATATTCTTGGAGCATGTTTTAATAATTTTCATTTTGCATCTTAGGTAGTTGCAGAAACAATCTCTGAGGTAGGAGATCCAAAAGAAGCCATATGTGAAGCAGTTGAAAAGTTGAAAATTGACTTGCTTATTGTGGGAAGCCATGGTAAAGGAGCCATACAGAGGTATCCATTTTATTTCTATGTGCATATCTTCTCTCTTTTGGTGTCTAAGATTTGTAGTATGCTTTACTTCATAATCAATATGGATTTATGGGCTTTTGTATCTCCTCTTCAAATGATACAAGTCCATTGCAGTATATGTTCTCTCATTTAAAGGAGTAGCAATAAGGTCTTAGGGCATGCATGTGACAAAGTGCTTTAGGTACTAAATATATTTAGAACATGAGAACCAATCTATTCTTAGAAACTAGAAAAATGTAGGAGTAAAACAGAAGAAACGTTGGTTCCTAGATTCAATGAAAGCTGGTCTAGAATAACTGTCAACTACATGTGTTCATTATAAGGTGGAACTAATAGAATTCCGAATCATGCTCTGCTACTTTGCGCTCACTTTTGTTGATCGAGCTGCAATGATACAAGTTAGTTGGTATTTCTCTCTTCTGCATGCCCATACTCTCCCTTTATGGTCGTCTTTGTATTCTTTAGCCTTTGAATTGTCTAATGCCTATCAACAACATTATCTGAAAATCCAGAATGTATTTTATCAACTGAGATTTAAGATACTCCATCAATTTGCATAACGATCCTAATTGTTAAAGTTCTTAAAGCTGTAACTATTTACATTCAAGATTAAGATAGCGGTGACAAGCTTCAAAATACTCATTTTCAATTTTCATCTATGTGGTATAGACCTTCATCTAACAACAATATGAGCAGAAGGTCATAGATCCCAGCTATTTGTGGTTGGTTTTATGGCTCTTTTCTTCCCCTCAGGCTTCCAGTTGCACATCTTGAATTTTTCGTCTCTGTAGTGTGAGCTTCATCTAAGAACAAGAAAAAAGACGGCCATATTTCCTAGCTATTTGGGTTCGGTTTTATTGCTCTTTTTCTGCAAAGGGCTTCAGGGTCCACATCATGAATTTTCATCTTTATAAATGCATACACAGTGCACGAGGCTCCCGCCAATATGAGATCTCGGGAGGGTCAATGTATGTAGTTTTAGCTTTAAATATTTAAAGAGACTGTTTTTGTGATTCAAACCCTTATAGTGCGACTTTAATCTAGGAACAACAAGAAGCAAAAGTCATAGATCCCAGCTATTTGGGGGTCAGTTATTTGGCTCTTTTCCTGCTGTCATGCTCTTTTGAGGCAATATCATTGGTCAAACTGAGAACCAACAAATCTTCTGATGGGGACTTTAGGTCTTGTATTGACTCTCCTTTCACCATTTATTCGTGTTGATGTGTTTACTATCCAGTGCATTCGTTGTTCTCTTCTTTATATGTCAAAACCAAAATGATTTTTTTTTATCCTTGATTAAAGTCACCCCTTATAGTCTAACCTTTGTCTCTGGATGATAATATATCATACTATTGTTAGTGGCCATACCCTATGTGGTCTGATTAGGCTTGATAAGTGCAAGGCAATTTAAGTGAGATTGAGATTGGGGTAGTTCTCCAATTTTACTTTAGAGCTCATTGTTAATAATTCCAAAGTAGCAGTGCTACCCCTTAGTTGATCTGAATGGGTAAGTCTAAGAATATGGGGACTATACATGTCTCAGCATTGTCTTCATATTTAAGACCAGTAAGGTCCAAATGATGTGTCTTATTGGTTTGAACTGGTTCAACGTGATTGTTGAACACCACCAGAAAAGAGGAATACAAATTCTTTGGTGTATAAACAGGATCTATTACCTTTAAATCATATCACTGAATCAGTAGTCCATCAAGAATTGCTTGTTTGTGGCAGGCTACTTGTGATGTTTGCATGAGATTTCTTGTTCAATGGACCAAATGCACCACCTTGTAAGGGAAGACAGCATTGACACATTCATCGATATCACAAGTAAAGCATTGTTTGCAGGATATGCCACCTCTGAAGTATGAATAACATGAATCATAGATAGCTAGTGCTCGGGAGTTTGCATGTGTACTGAGTTGTGAGCTCAAAAAAAAATCTGCAACTATGACCAAAGAAGGCATTATCCAAGATTATACCATCTCTACTATCACAGGGAAAGAGCTTGCCTTTGCCGTCCTTGGACACGGTCTTACTTCTTATTTGAGATCAGTTATTACCAGGTTGCAGGAGCATGTGGAGACTCGTCTACTCTAGAAAGTTGCCCCTTTGTGATATTCCTATATGATCATTAAGTGAACATGCTTGTTATCTACGCAAAATCCAAAACCGAAGGCTAAATAATCCCAAACAGTTATGTTCATGTAACGAGCCATATCAATAGTTGATCATTTTGTTGCTGCTTCTTATAAGGAATTCTTTTCAGATACAAGCCTATATATGAACTATGGAGTAGTGTTATGGAGACTGTTGCATATGCTTTTTCACTTGCATATATATCTCCAGGTGTAGATTATGCACAAAATCATCATCTTGATGTCTTCATCATTTATCGACTAATTGTGTCTATTGATTGCAACAGGGTTTTCCTGGGGAGCGTCAGCAATTACTGTGTGCATAATGCCAAGTGCCCTGTCCTCGTCGTGAAGAAGTCTGTATGAAAATTGATTCATCGAAACAGAAATAAATGTTGATGGTGTTATGTGACAGACTACATTGATATTTCACCAGGCAGTGGAATATAGTAAATTAAGCCAGCCTTGTAAAGATTGTATGCATATTAAGACAGAACACGATTTGTTCGATGTTTATGCTCTGCGGCAATTGGACAGCCGGAAGAAGTAATTAAAATAAATCGGGCAAGCATGTAATCTTTTGTTTATGGAGGCATAATATTTGATCAGCCACTTGAAGCAATTATTATTATGTTAATACTTTCAAGCAGCTTTAAAGCCCAATAAATATATCCGAATTGGGGGCTCTAAAGTCGATTGTTGAGTTGTTCATGTTGTTTTGTTTTGGAATCCAACTATTGCTGTGATGCGGCTTTGTGTTTATGTGGAACTTTTTTCTTTTCTTTTTCTTTTTGTTAAAACCACATATATATATATATATATATATAGTTTATTTTGAGGACGGATAAATTGGCTGATCAAAGTTTGAGTCGTAAAAATTATATAGAGATGAGATTGCAAGTGGAGGAAGTGAGTAGATAAATTGGCTGTACCTCCAATCAGAACAAATGGGATAATTAATGTACAATAGTAACAATACCCATCTGATTAACCCATTAAAATAGTGATTGAATTGCGCAAGAGGACGAATCGACCGACACGGCATCACGAAGAGAGCAGATCGAACTCGGGTAAGTCTCGAGTCGACCCAACGAGTTCTCAAAACGTCTAAAGATGTTGGCATCTCGTTGCATGGAATGAGGCGAGCTCAGTGTGTCGCTTCCTCATACGTCCCGGTCGTGTTTCCTGTTGTCGGATCGTCATTTAGTGTGGTGGAGTGTAAACTCCAAACCCACAATTGCATGGTGTGAACTGATAGCATATGGGTCGACAGTGCTTTAACAGTGGTGAGATTGACGGCATCGATAAGGAGGGATTGATAGTGATACAGCGAGAGAGAGAGAGAGCTCTCAGTCCAAATCCAAGTCCATGGTTTCCAGGTTGGGTTCCTGGTTTCTCGTCGCGGTTGCTTGTTTCGTATCGGTGCCAGCTCTTAGTGGCTCTCTTGGATTATGTTCGACGAGTTTATCTTTGCTTCTGAATGCGATTAATATTTTTTATTTTTTTTCTTTCCTCTCTTTGACATTCGATGATATATATTTCTTCCACTTGTTAGTATTTTAGTCGCTTGATATCGCAACAATCTACATTGATATTTCTTGGAGATGACTTCGTATTGATGCGAGTCTCGTGTATTGAATTGAACGTATTTTATTTTTAGTTAATATTTTAAGTTATTAAATTTAATATATTATTAATTTTTTAATTGAAATCAAAGTAAATATGAAAAGAAAAAAATAAATTGAGTAAAAGAACTTTCGACTTTAATTTGATTCTCAAATTTATGTTGAAAAATAAAAAAATTATTTAATTATTTCTTTTTCGATCCATCGGCAACTTATTGCTTTAGTATCGTCGTTGTCAATCAAATATGAATAGGTGCTTTCATACGATTTATATTTTGGTATATTTTGATATGGATAAATAATTAATCTATCTTCGATTGGAACTCATTCCACATCTTAAAAACAAAACAAAAAAAATCAACATGAAACATAAATTTTTTTTTTGCATCCATTAAAATTAAAATCCAGCTTTTCAATTTATACATTTACTAAATTCTTTATAAGTCATGACCTCTAATAATTCGTGTCATTTAGATTGCTTTCGCAAGTAAGAAAAGGGAGTACCGAGAGATATATTAAGAACAATAAGGATCAAAGAGGGGATTTGCCATGGATTCTTGGATATAAAAATTGACCTACCATGATTTATTTTCTATGATGTTCACCATCCACGTGGTGTTAAAAATGAAGAACAACATGATCAATAGAGATCGAAGACCGAGTCTTTGGATTCAAATTTAATGAAATCGGTACAAGCGAATTCCAAACTAAAGATTTTGGAACGAAAAAGAAATCACTGAGAGAGCAATTTGGACTTTTAGAAAGAACACAAAGACGAATCTTCTAGTGCAATAGGGTGCCATTAATTATGTAAATATGCTTCCAAAACCACATGATATGTACGTTGGGTTGGAGTGAAGACTAAATCCCCATTTCGATGTCCAATACTTTTCTAGTGGAGCCATCCAACAACAAATAATGGTGATTTGGCGTTAGGTGAGGATAGGAATGGGTTGGGTGGAGAGTCGTTTGTACGTAGAAATGGAATGCTACCAACATATTAATTTCCTTTAGCAAATAAATAATAATACGTGGTGAAAGCAAAATATATCTAAAGTAATTTGTAAATGCATATATTGTTGATATAGGAAAAATAAAAGAATAAAGAGTCATGATAGAGGTTGATGTGACGAATACCATTATAACTTACGAAGCACTTGTTCGACATATCATCATCCAACGCGATGTATATCGTCATGACTCAACTTGATCAACTTGTCATCGGTAACTCTACTAAGCTCGACGTATACCATGCATAGCTATACGTAGCTCAGAGGACACCATTATAAGTTGGATCAACTTAGGTTGAACCTTCTCCAAGTCAGCTTGATGGGTGCCGTCATAGTCGAGCTTGAGTTGGATTGGCTGCCACACCATTAAAACTAGACGACCATAATGTATTCCACGACTAAGATTTCGAGAACCTCATCTTACAATAGATAAGGCTGGACAATCTCTTCCTCTCTCACGCAAGCGATAGAGATTCTCGATGCTCGTCTCGGACATCGCTTTGGATTTGCTCGACTCTATTGCATCTCACTTAATAGGATCCACCTCAGCTTAACAGTGTCACCCAAACTCAATCGAGTGGCATTTACTATAGATAGATAAGAAAGGTACCAAATTGGCTGTGATCCTCCACATCTGACTTGGTCAATCACCAACGAAAAACACATTTGAATCATCGACTTCAAATAAAAGTATCATCAGAAACACTACTCTATACATCTCTATCTAATGTACAGTTGTGAATGATAGTGATGGCGAGGTCGAGGACAATGGCGATCCATCCATAAGGTCCACGCTCATTTCATTTTCCTTGGAATTAAGATGGATCTAAAATAATCTAAACTCGATCTTAAGGATCAATCCGACACAAACGAGTCCACTTGGATTCCAATCACTTGTCACAATGGATGAATCTCATCATACAATAAAAACCTTGGTCCAGTGGATAAGACTTCCCTTGACAAGGACACAAAAAAGAATATCGTACTCATGACTTTACTCTACTATTATTGCATATAAGCTATTATTATTATTATTTAAACATTATTAACATCATTTTTGTTGTTGCATATAAGCTATTAATACACGTCAGGGAACTAACGTAGTTCGACACTACTTTTGTCGTAAAGTAGGTGTTGTAATGGTACGACATGCAAAAACTATCATCAACGCTCAAATATGAATAATAGTTGACTATATTAGCATGTGAAGAACATAGTTTGTCTTTTTAAAGAGGCTTAGCTATTATGAAGTAGATAAGTCTTTTATGAGATCATTTACATAAAGTTATCCAAATTATTACCGAGTGGATAGTCTTACGAACTACGTTATGGGCTGACATTTGAGGTTCACATAATATCAACACCGATTTAGTGTAAGAACTTGTCGATGCCCAAATGTCTGTGTCTTTTCCTCTGTATCAATAAATAGGTTTCTTCGTCTTATTAGACTACATTAAAAGGCGTTCTTGCACGGATACAAATATGCGATCTATCAATACAAAATAGTATGCTAACGATCAGCATGTCTGAATAGTGTAAAGTTGTTGATACGTGTCTGATTCGATCGATGGAGACGACGACGACTTGTACTGAGTCCAACAGGTTCGAGTGATGCCCATGACGGAGAGAACGATCTCCACCCTCGCATGGCGCGGTGGAATGCTGTGATGCCGATCACAGGGACGTCCTTTTGCCACGTACCCAGGAGTTCATGTCCATCGTCGACGTCGCCGTCTCTGTTCACGTCGCATCACTAGCCATCGGCGAGGGAGGGGAAGAACGATGGATGGGAACTTCATTGAACACCTCGACGACGGGACCTCCCAATCATTCACGTGCCTTCTCCTCCTCCTCCTCCTACTCCTCCTCGTAATCGCAAGCGCCAGACCTCGCCTTCGGCCCCTGCTCTGTAGCTTCTCGCATCATCCTATGGAGGACGCAGCTAAAGGATCTGTTATTCCAATCTGTCCTTGGTTGCATGGGACTGTCGATGATGATGCTTCTGCCGCTGCCATTCCAGCTCTGGAGATCAGCTACGAGCCACGCATCCCTCTCTCTCTCTCTCTCTCTCTCTCTCTCCGTCTCTCTCTAACAGCTGTGTAGATCAGTTGTGGATGTTATGTAGGAATGAGACGTTGGCTCGCAGCTTCCCACTGTCAGCTATATGGAGATTGAGCATTGCATGCAAAGAAACAGAGGATGAAAGCTTCGAAGCATTTCTGATTGGCTTTCGATGTGGAGTTTGGATGATCCTGGCACTCAGAAGCAGAGGAGTGAGTTGTGAATTAGGAAGAAATCAAGAATGTGGAGTATTCCCCAATGCCCACAAGTCCTTGAGCAGGGTGGGGTTTGGGTTGCTCTTCGCACCACTGCTCTTCTCTGCTCTGCTCTGAACCCTCAACTCCCTCAATGGTATCTCTCTCTCTCTCTCTCTCTCTCTCTCTCTCTCTCATGAGTCACAAAAAAATAATAATGAAAAAGAAAAAGTACAGAAAATATAAATGCAAATAAAAATCACAGCTTCTATTTCCATTATATTGTTCTTTACTTTCATTTTGTTCTTTTTACCTATTACAAACAAAAAGGGAAAAAGAAAATAAAGCAGAGACAGGAGGGAGGGAGGGAGGGAGGGAGGGAGGTGAACGTGTAAAAAGAAGCACCGGGACCGGGTGACCAGAAGCTCTCAAATATAAAGCAGAGGAGAAGGTATGATGTGGTGATGGTGGTGGTGATGCGCCTCGACGTCTCCATTCAGGAATTGCTCTACCGCGACGGCGCTGGGGCCCGCCACGTGCTTCTCCCACGCGGCCTCTGCCTCCGCCGCCGCCGCCGCTGTCCCGGATAGCCGCGCCAACACGGTCGGGGTGGCGTCCAGCCTCAGCAGTGGCCACCCCAACTCCACCAGCTGCTCGATCTTCCGAGCCTGTTGCTCCGCCAGTCGCCTCGTGTTGGCCTTGATGGCCACCACCGCTGCCTCGTATGCCGCCTCCGTCCCCCGCCCCTCGCCCAGGAAGTATTCCCGGAATTCGGACACCCCGATCGCCTTGTCCAGCCCTGGGTGCCTCGACTTACCCGCCTGCGCCTCTGCCTCCTCCGCGAAGTACCGCCCCAGCTCCTCCACCATCCCCGCCGCAACCATCTCCTCCACCCGCCGGTCGAGCTGCTCCGCCAGCGCCGCCGCGTCCACGTCCACCCACAGGAAGCAGCACCGGTACCGCAGCGCCCCCGCCTCCTTCCTCGTCGTCCGCCGCGGCCACCCCGCCGTGAACGGGCTCTGCCGCGGGTCGTACCTGCCCGCCATGGCGGCGTGTATGAAGGAGTTGGACCCGCCAGCCACCACCGGAATCCGTCCTCGGCCAGCGATCCCAGCAATGGCGCGCGCCGCCATATCCCGGAACCCAGCCGGGTCGAGCTCGCCCGCCGCCGGGTCGAGCTCCCCCAGCAAATGGTGCGGCACGCCACAGCGCTCCCCGAGCGGCATCTTGTTGGTGGTGATGTCGAGGCCCCGATACACCTGAATCTTATCGGAGTTCACCACCTCGCCGTCGAACACCGTGGCCAGCTCGACGGACAGCTTCGACTTCCCCGTTCCGGTGGCGCCCATGACGACCACCACGCTCTCCTTCCACGCATCACCATTGCCCTCGACGCAATAATGCTCAGGAAGCACTCCCCTGCGACACATGTTCAGATGGTGCTGGCGGCTCTGCTGCGGCACCGCTGCGACAGTGGCCGACGTGAGACCGCAAGGGGCAGACGCCGGCCGAAGAAGGCAAGGAAGAAGAGCTGCGCTGGCCCCGCTGTGGACTAGAATTCTCATAAAGCCCAGCAAGCAAGCACTTGGCGAAGGCCACCTATTTGTGTGTCGATGGAGCTCAAGAAATGGGTGGAGGGGTAGAAGAGTGGCATGCCACAGTTTCAGGTGCGTTGTTGGCCTTCAGGGTTGACACACAAAAGCAAAGGCAAGGCTGGGAAATAGAAATGGCAACCGAGTTGGGTATCCTCTCAAATCATCCATGCTGTTTCACGCTGTTGCAGCTTCTCTCTCTCCCTCTCCCTCTCCCTCTCCCTCTCCTCATCCTCTCCGTTTTGGCTCACAGGGTGGGAGGGGATGCCCTTTTTATTTGGCATGGTATTAGTCATCCTTGTTATTTTAATCCAATTAATCATTGCCATTAACCATGCCAGACACTCCAAGATAAATATTTGTGTTCTGTATCCCCATAAACATACTTGGATTCATTCATTCATTCATTCCATTCCATTCCATTCCATTCCATAAAACTCAAAATCCCAAGCAGTGCAGGTACTAGGAAGAACATACCCAAAGAATAGTTTAATGACGTGGGGAGGGAGAAGACACCTCCATGCCCAGTTTGGGGCACACACATGCTAATGCAGGGCCTAAATTTACGCTCCTCATCATGGTGTTGAGCACTCCACCAAAAAGGCTTTTTGAGTTGAGCATGCACAAATCATGAATATGGTTTGTGCTTTGTTTTAGCTACCTACAATTTTATACTGCTACTTAAAAAATCATATTTTCTTTTCTTTCAGAAAAAAAATAATTATTATATTAATAAATAGAAGGTGCCAAACCAAAAATACTACTAAAAGAAAATCCGCACTCAAAGGTGTGACTTTTTTACGAAAAGAAACTTTTAGTAGATCTAGACGACTAATATATACAAAGATTTTCTTCCTAAAATATATGACGAAAAGAGTTACAGTCACTTAGCATTATAATTGTTATAACTCGTAATATGTTGAATCATAGATATATTTTTTTTAATTTCTTTATCATGAGATATGATCCAATACCATTTATTAAACACAATAATTGACTTATTAAGTTTACAATATTAAATTCGTTCTTTTCTCACTTTCGACTTTCGATATGATACTAAATTAGATAGTAAAAGATAATTTAATGCATAGGATTCGGAGAAGATCAATGTAAATGACTTGAGGCATACAAATAATGAGATTATCTATAATTATCCAATTTATAAATAAATAATCGTATTATAGCATCAAAATTTCTCTTTTTAAATACCAAGAAAACTAGCTGTTATAAAAACTTAATATATTTAAATATCGATCTTAAAAAACTCATATATCTAAAAGTTAATGACCTCAATAAGATTTGAATTATCAATTTTTATTGTTATCATCATTGTATTGGAAAGATCAAAACTATGTATGTGTTCGAGATAGAATGTGGTTTAGATTCTTGGCATTTAACGAGGTTGGTGACTTAAGTCGGGCCGTGGATGTGCATCCATGAGGGTTGCATGCAGTAGTGGCCTTCACATCACATGGTTCCATGCATCTTTTCATTGAGTCCGAGCATTGGATTGTCCCTTTTTTCTTTTCAGGAGCTGATGATACGTGAATGACCCCATCGAGACACTGATGCATGCATGAGTGTCTCGGATCTCCTTGCGCAAATGCAATTAACCTTAACCCCCATGAGAATGTGACCCTTAACATTAATTGCAGTCTCTTTCTTTCGAGATGGTGCCGTCTCTCTCTTTCTCTCTCTAATTTACCTTAACCCCCATGAGAATGTGACCCTTGACATTAATTGCAGTCTCTTTCTTTCGAGATGGTGCCGTCTCTCTCTTTCTCTCTCTCTTTCTCTCTCTAATTTACCCAAAGCACCGACGGCTACCTTTTCCAAATCAAAATAGATACGTTTCATGGGGAAATCTAAACCATTACTTTTAGAATTGGAATTAAAAAATTACTTTTAATACAACTTATTTGGTTTAAATAATTAATGACAATTCCCAAATTATTTCTATATTTATTTATTTCACTTAAGATGTGCCACACCTCAAATTTAAATCACTAAAAATATTCTTCACTAATTTTAACTTAAATATAATTAAAATAATCTTAGATAAAAATCCAAGTATAACAAGCTGTCCCATCACATCTTATGAATCATGTTATATGTCTTGCATAGAACTCATATGGTGTAGATAACATGAGGCAATAATATATGTAATTAGAATACAAAATNTTAATTAATATATATATATATATATATATATATATATATATATATATATATAT